AAGCATATTTTGTCCTTTGGATAGAACAACCATCATATCATGACTGCCTTCTGGTACAATTAATACCTTTTTGCGTATCATCCCATCCTCTTTTCGTAGAGCAGACGCCCTATTCCCGTTCTCCAGCATGTCGGTCAAAACAAGACTGAGCACATCTCCTCTTGTTTTACTATTCCCCCACTCAATTTGCCGGACAGATTGAATGTACATTGTCTATCTCGCTTATTTATCTTGCCAGGTTTCGGCTACTCTCCTCCGTCAATCCGATGGCGAATCAACAGGTCCAAACGGTCAGCTCACTTTACTAGGTTCATTGTTTTAGCACGCTTTAATTGTATGCAGATTTACTCAACTCTACCGGTTTGCATGCCTGCTTGGAGTACCGCTAGCAGTTCGCCTATCCCATGCGTCGTGTTACTTGACTTGTCTTGGGATTGATGTTTGATGTCGTACGATGTTGTTGCTAACCTGGAGGTCTCCTGTTTTCATTATTATGCTGACTGAAAGTTACTAATAATTGTTTGGTCTTGTTTTCGCGACTTGGTCATATTGTCAGGAAGACAGACGACGCTTCGTCGGCATCTTCACTGAGCCCCACCATTCTTAGCGCCGCACTAGAACTCGTCTAAGGGACAAGTGAACTGCTCTAAACTGTAGGTGGTATCTCTCCTTCTGTCCGGGCTGTTCATCAAATTGGTTCATCTAAACGAGCACAAATTCTGACATTGAAGAGGTGATAGATACGAGGATGTAGGATTGATGAATATCCCGGACGGAAGGAGAGATGCCACCTACAGTTCAGCAGACAATTGCTCTCAAAGGATCGGCTTCACTTGTCTCTTTGGCGAATTGCAGCTTGGCTGCTGAGACTGGCAAGACTCATTGATGACGCCGACTACGATGCCGGGAATGTACCAAGTCACAGTGTGCTCGTTCGGCTCTTCCAAGTTGCAGAAACAAGGTCAAACAACTTTTGTGCAAAAGACAACATCATCTTGGTTTTCACACCTATGAAAGTTAACAAATGTGGCTGTATGATAGATGGATTTCCTACATCTCGTTTGGGTATTGCATATAAGCCAGTTCATTGATCATTTCTCATTTGTTAAATTGGATAGACCAATCCGATGAATTGATTGTATATCGATTCTCTTCCATTATGAAGAGAGCTGCATTCCCTTCCGTACTATTGTCTCACCAATGGATTTACGACTATTTCTTCAACCCTGTCTGATTTTGCTCTCTTTTTTGGCAACTGAGAAAAGGAAACTTTGACTTATCCGGTTATTTCAGTTCTACAGGGACTCATGGCTGCGCGTCTATAAAATGGAACTAGATCTTCTGTTTCGGTAAGTCAGATGAAACTTTTTAAGACTTTGGACGGATTTTTTTAAGTTACTTTTCCCTCTTCTCTTGGCTCTTGTCTGATTTGTCCTTATGCAATGTCATCGCAATGGCGAAACGTCTCTTTCCCGATAATCCTCATCTCTCTTGGTGAATATCTTCGAATCCTTTTTCGTGACAACTTCGCCAGTCGCAGAGCCAGACCTGCTCTCTTCCTCTGTTATCCGCATCCGTTGCGCTGACTTTGCTATCCTCAGCTCTGTTGCAAGAGCGTTTGAGGACCTCCTTTCTCGACCACCAATCAGCAGTGTCATCGTACGCCAATCGGTTGAGTCCGATGGTTTCTTCAAGCCCATGGCCTGTCCCTTGGGATTTGAGCTGACTTTCCTTTCCGCAACCTATCCTGCGGCATTTTCACGCTAATCCCATTCTCTGATCGTCGTTTACTCTGCGTTTTCTGCGAGCCCGCCACATTACTTTTGAATGTAATTAGGTCTTCATCGATGCTCTTTTGCTTCCTTTTCTGAAGTTTAGATATTTTCGCTTGATTCGAGTGCATTGCAATTGCAGCGCCCCACTTAAAATACAATTTCCGTCGCTTGCTTAACTCATGCTTTAGGCTATTTTTGAAAATCAGAATACAAACTATTCTCCTAAATTGTGGAACTTAGTGGATTTATTGCTGCTTTTCCTCGCTTCGATCTCATTAACGACAGAATGTATTTGCATAAAGTATGTCTATCAGGATATATTAACGTTTTAAGTATGTTATTTTGTTCCTTCATTTTATCATCTCCATTTTTATGTGATCTAATAAAACTATATCTTGTCTTATTTTAAACTCCTTTCCGGAATATTGAATCCTTCAATAATCATGCTAGCGAATAAGAGGCCGACATGCTCTATTGGTCAACATAATTCATCTTGTCTTTTGTGACTGCTGCTAATCTTGCTTTCTTACGAATTGTTTCTTTTTATATCTTATTTGCCATCTTCATTTAAAGAATTTTTATCTTGATTTTCCAAAATATCCCACTCAGCTGTTGATCCTGGGCAACACGTGATGTTTCTACTAGGAGCAGAATGCGATGCTGAGGAGGAAGAGTCTCATCAGCTCTTTTGTGAGCTCGATGAACTATGTTATGACCCTTCCGGTGCTGAGGAACCAGAATGGTGTGAAACGGCAAGGCAAGTGCACGCCCATTTCTACCAAGCCTTAAATCTGCCATTTTAGTACACTTCATCTTCTGTCCGAGCGTGAGGTGTGCTTCTTTTAAGCTTGTTTTTACCTTTAAGACGAAATTTCTGCATATTTTCCCGTCGAGCTTTGCTTCGACTTTTATGTATCTCTTTATCGGACAGTCTCTATCTTATTACCATTCGTTTTTACACTCTTCTTATATGAATTAATGCTGCCTATTCAACACTCATTATGTATACTAGTTGCGATGCTCTATTTAATTAGTAAATGAAGGGATTTTGCATGAAGTTACGTGAATGATCGCTTCTCTAGAACTAGCCTTCCATAGACTTTTGAGAAAACGTATACCTTAAGAGGATCTATTGTCCACATAATATTGACCTACACTATTACTATCGCGCTAATTTATACTTCAAAGTCGACTTCAGTGAGACCAGCAGTAGGCAAGCCACATATGCACTACTTAGTGGAGCTGTATGCCGCCTGGACATTGAATTATAATTGCTTAATCCAAATTTGCTCAGACTGACGCCTTTCTACACTGTCAAATAACATGCGTCTACAGCGTAGATAAAATTATTAGTAAAAAGGTCTGACTGCCAAGTTTGCTCTAGCGCACATTGGTTTCCGGAATTTATCTGTCAATCGATCAGCCTCAAGAAGGACACTAACTTAAGGTTCATTACTTTTTCCTCACATGACGACTGAGGAGTGATACGATCTTGCCTTCCAACGTTACTCAGTCAAATCTAGGACCCTTGAGCTGAGGATAGATAAGCAGATCACTAAATTCCACTCTACTGCTAGACTAGCTTCGCACACGCACCAGACAATCCTATTCTGTTGCTATGCTGCGCATAATGGAAGGAAGTATCTTGTTTGTCTGTGAAGCAACAGGACATTCTGATGAGATTATTTAACCACTTTTGCCCGTCTTGTACATATTCTGGCGAGTTAGGGGTAGACTACGTGTTGGCAACAGAACGGGAAACTTGGAAACCATCTGAAAGGGTTTAATTTTCGTTTAGTGTGTCATTAGGGCACAGATGTACACGAAATACCTTCCATTTTGACTAGGCGGAATAGCCCCTATCGAGGC